CTAGGAATTTTATAGAATAAAATTGTGTGGTGAGATAGGTTTAAAATGGATTAGATTACTGAAGTTACTGAGGAGATAAATTAGCACAGTAGAGAAGCAGAATATAAGAAATGTAAAAGTGGCCTTTTACTTAAAGAATGTGGAGAGGAGCCCACAGCCCCTAAGAGTTTGGCTTTTTTTTTCCAACTGACTATGGGGTTATGGGGTATATGTGGATTTTGACTCGATGTGGTGCTTGAGGGGAGATTGATGTCATATGAGAGCTGATGGGAATTTTCATTAGGCCCCTGGGAAAGAAAGAGGAAATTGTAATTAAGGAGAATAGAGGAAGTGGCCATATGAGTAAGCATCCCTGATTTCACCTTCTTCCACTTTGAACTACCACCATGAGGTCTTGTAATTGTTTCTAGGGTAAAACACTTTGAAGTATATCCTTTGATTGGAATGAAGAAATCAAAATAAAGAATGTACTTATTGAGAGAAAGAAAGCTGCCTGAGAGAGATAAGGGGTCCTGAGGAGGTTGCCAAACACTGTCCTTTCTAGGGACCTTTATAGAGTAAAATCATGTGGTGAAATGAGTTTAAGGTGGGGAAAACTAGGAAATCACAATGCAGATGGGCATAAGATGGGTCAGAGCTATGGTACCCAATAGGATTATTAAGTTCAGGTAAAGCTGATTAAATTGGGAACAAAGGGGGAAGGGAGTCACATAGAAAGCAGGCATTCTTAGGCAGCTGTGACTCTTCCTTTAGGGGTTTGGGAGGGTGACTTCTGAGTTCCTCAGTATGACGGGAACTATTTAGAATGACAGTCTTTAGGATAAGGATACATTTCTTTGAATGGTGACTCCTAACTTCCTCAGAGTGCTAGGGAACTATTTAGAATATCTATCCTTAGAATATGGATGAATTTGTTTATCATTGTCTTGAGTCTTGGCCCATAGCATGAGGTGTCAGTCTTCCCCATAGTTGCAAGGTATCTGGTCTCCTGCATGGGCTCCTTGGAGGACCTAGCCTTGGTTCATGTCAAGAGTATTTAAGTAACTCAGGTGCCTGTAACAGTACTTTTTTGAAAATTGATTAGAGATGTCTTGTGCTCTGGGTGAATGATCTGGGGATGACAATGTGCAATGTATATACCAGTGTTGCCCTCTGATTCACATGTTTTGAAATTCAATTTTAGTTGATGTGCTCTTTTTTCCTTGAAATAAAATGGATTTGAAAATTAAAAGCCTCAGGTAATGCTCTTCAGTACAAACACTCTTCTGTCTAGCTCAGTTCACCACTGTAGAAGAATGGCAGCTCCAGAAGTCTCTGCACTACAATCTATCATTTGGGATCCTCTCTTGCAAGAAGGGGTTCCTTTCCCTGTATATTGTTGACTCAGAAGGAAGGCAGTAGAGCAGGAATCAATCAGTGATGAAGAGGCAGGCTATATGAACTGTCCAATCAGGTGAGGCATTGCTGGCTGTGACTTCTGTCTCTTCCAGTGTCTCAGGATGATTTATCTGTTCTGAGTATTATACTGGTACCAAAATGCTTGCTGGATCTCATTTAGTACTTTTGATGTCCTGTGGCCTGATTAGCAAAGATCCTGTGAGATCCTGGAACCATGGAATAGTGAGTTTGTGGATGGGAGCCCAGAAGTAGGGTGGATTGGGTGAAACCAGTTACAAGTATTTAGGAGTAGTTCTGGTGTCTGGAGCCCCAGGTATTTAGTTAGCTTCAGCTCCTGAGGTCTTCCAGCATTGACCATGGGTCATTCACTCTCCCTTTTGTCTCTTGCTGTTGGCAAGGGTGATTAGGGGTCCCAAGTACCCTGGCTTCACTATGACAGCAGTAGACTCAAGTATCATCTTTGAAATTCATTGCTAGCCTGGTAACTCCACCATCTTAGGCACTGGAAGGAGCTTGGGAAGACCCTGACTATGATGCTTTTTGTAGCTTGTAGATCAGTAATGAGCTAGGTCTCTGCTCCCTTTCCTCAGAGTAGCAGATCTAGAATGTCCAGAGTTTATTAATGTCTGTAATGCAGGGCCTCATAGCCACAAGGGCTCAACTTAAACTTGGGCTTTTTTGTATTTATAGTGATCTCCTCAATTTATACTATGTTCTCATATTTCCATCCTCATGACAGGTAGTGGCAAACTTCCTGAGAATGCAGAGATGTGTAGTAGTGTGCCTCAGTGGAAAAAGGCTTCCCAAACAAGTCGTGAACTCCTGTGTATTATAAAGATCAGTGCAAAATAATTTCTGAACATACTTAATTATTTAGGTGGCACCCTTCCTCACAGACTAGGTTTGTGAGAACAGCCATAGAGTTTTGAAGTCTGAGAAAAATGAAGGAAATATGAAAGTGTTATCAAGGACGGGGTAAAAATTTGTGAAGGACAAATCCCAGAAAGGGCTACCTGTTAAATTCTCATCAAAAATGCTGAAATTTAGGCATTTGCATGGACATATACACGTGATTTCCTTCTGAATGGAAAAGAAAAGTTGTGCCATCTCTGAATTAACAGCTGATTTAGTGGCTTGGTTGTTCATAGTTTAAATATGGAAATGCTCTGCAATGGAATTTACTAAGTGGTGTAAAGGAGAAGCTCTAAACAGAAATTTTGCAGTGGTATCAATAGTTAGGCATGAAGGGGTTCCTGCTGAGGATGGATCAGAGGCATGTGGAAAGGATGTGCAAGTGACTGACAGGATTCAGGAAGCCAATAGCAGGACATACAACAGAGAGGGTCTTCACTGAAATTCAGGTAGTTCGTAGAGTAAGTGTGAAGCTAAATTTGGGTTCTGATTGCTTCCTTGAGGTGACCAACACCAGCTCTGGCAACAGTCAGTATTTCACATACTTGCCAACCCATGAATTTTCTGTTCCATACTTGAGATCTAATTTGGATTATCTCTAATTATGCCCCAGTGTCATGAAGGTAAAATGTGGATTTTTTTTTGTACCAAGGATCGAACACATGACCTATGCTTTCCAGGCAGGCGTTCATGCCACTGAGCTAAATACCCAACTATGAAGGTGTTTTCTTTGTTGTATGGAAGATATCCACATTGTTTCCCAGAAAGTGTTGAATATTTTTGGAATTTTTCCATATTATATGGCTATAATTTTTAAAAAACAAACCAAAGGTGTCTTATGCAGTCTCTTTTTAAGATTCACTTTGTCTGTGGGGTGTCACAGTCAGGGTTTCTCTATTTTAGACAGCTCTGTTACTTAGGATAGCCCCAAATTAAAGGAAGAAGTCCTTCACCAGCCTCACAAGATATATTCCTTATATCTGAATTGAAAGTGAATGCTTGGTGACAGTGAGCTATAAACTACAGCTAGGGCCTGGTTCCATTTTATATACTTATTTTTTAAAAACAGCATTTTCCACTAACATTTGAGTTATTATTTGTGTACCATATTGGATGTTATTTATGTTTTGTTCTATGAAACCAAATTCATGTTTCAAAATGCTGCTGAAGTATATTAAGAACAAAGTACTCACTGGCCTAAATGAGATTTGAAGAGACATTATCTGCAGCCTATGAAAGTGATTGATGAGTTTTTTTTTCTTTTTTTAAATATTGAAAGTGGTAAAATACAACAGAACAAGACAGAATAAGGCCAACTAAGATCATACAGTGAAATTGGCACACAACTTCACAACTGGTTACTGCGATAACAGTAATAGGTATCACAGTATATTTTATTAATCTTTATAATAGGTGTTCTTTTTTTTTTTTTTTTTGTCTTTTTCCTTTTTATCAGTACCGGAGATTGAGCCCACGACTGTCTGCTTGCAAGGCAGGTGCTTATGCCACTGAGCTAAATCCCCAGCCCCAGTAGTTGTTCTTTCAAACACGTATATCAAAATGAGATGAAATACAGAACATTATAGTACTTATCAAAACAGAGTATTGAATAGAGCAATACCATTAATCAGAAAAGAGCAAAACAGTAATAAAAATATTTGCCTTCAAAGAGACAGTAGAAGGAAGTCCCCCTTATTTGTTATCGTCTGCTTCCCAGGAGTCGCTCAGATTTCTGGTTCCCATTTGATAACGGGGGGGGGGGTGTGACAGGAGAAGAGGGGTAGGGAAGTGGGATGTTTGATTCTAGGCTGTGCATCAGTAGGTTCACTATTGCTTAGTAGGGAGACAGGCTGGTTGTTTGGTTTCACAGCATCCTAAGTTCCCACATGGCGCGGATCTCAGGAGCTGCTGCTGGTTCTCCCCCTGGAAGGGCCTCATTCTGCCAGACCTCCACCACTTACCAGGGAGAAGTGGTGATTGCTTGCCTTCCAAGTGTCCTAAATTCCAGCATGGCATGGATCTCAGGAGCTGCTGCTGGTTTGCCCCCTTGATGGGCCACAGTCCACCACACCACCACCACTTACCAGGGAAGGGAGGTGCTTGTTTGGCTTCCCAGTTGATTCATGGGATATTTATCTACCTCTGTGCTTTGTGGATGCTGGTCCTGCAGGCTTCTCACTGTGAGCTCTGCATTAGAGACAGTACACAGGGAATATTGCAGTGACTCAGCACAAGAATCAGTGCTCCTATTTGACTGTTACATTAGCAGTGAGTTGCAATCTATCATCAAATTTGCTGTCTTCAAAACGTGTATATACACAAAATTAATGACCAAGACATGGATTTAAATTTGAAGAAATCAGTCTTCATTCAGCTGTTTTGTTTGGTTTTATTTGTTTAGTTTTGTTTTGTTTTATTGAGACAAGCTTTCTATATGTATATCAGCTAGATTTGAACACCCTAGAATTGCCCTGAATTCACTGAAACCATCCTGCCTCAGCCTTTTGAGTTCAGGGCCTAGAATTGACCTGAACTCACTGAAACCATCCTGCCTCAGCCTTTTGAGTGCTGGCATTATAGATATATACCACCACAATTTGCTTTTGATTCAGATTTGTAGGAGAGAATTTAAGATATCCCAAACCTGGTGTCTCAAACTTCATGTGAGAAATATATGTATGATCCTTTAGGAGGTGGTGACCTTTGAGGATGTGGTCATGAACTTCAGCAATGAGGAGTGGGGTTTGCTGAGTCCATCCCAAAAGAACCTCTACAGAGATGTGATGGGCGAAACCTTTAGGAACGTGACTACAATAGGTAATGACAAAATACTTTTGTCACTCATGCTGTCAGAATGTTGTATGTCGCTGTTTCATTAAAAACAATGTGAAAATATTTTTAAAAATAGGTCACACCTGGACACATTATATCATAACTCTAAACAAAATCTATTAATTTGTATGTATTATTCTAATGAGCGCTGGTATTTCAATGTCTACAATTCAGGAGGCCTTGGGGATATCCAGGAAGCTGAAAAAGAATGCAAAATTTACTGGAGATACTTAAGGTAATTCACACTCTTAAGGAGAAGGAATGTTCCTAAGTAATTAGTGAGTCAGCAGAAAAATACCGCCAAAGAAATGAGGCACCATTCAATTTATTGTCAGTAATATTCTCCAAAGACGTATAAGCTAGGGTACGTATAATGAGTGGATTAAATCAAGAAAATGTATGACATTTCATATAGATGTGTATGAAAGGCATACACTTTGAGTTATGACATTCTCTCTTCAGTTTTTCTACCCATATATACTGTGAATACAACACATTCATCATCTAAAAGTTGCTTAGATTGCAATAGAACTCGAAATAAAATGGAGTTCTTGTGTTTCCAAGCCATGCTCTAAAGAATCAGCCATTTTGACTAAAATTCTTAGAAGGATGGTAGAATGTTAAGTGCACTCATTCTGAATATCAGTGTGCAGTTGTCTCTAGAAATTGATCCCCTCATACTTGTCCTGGATATATATATTTTTTAATTTTATTTAAGGAGAAAAGAAAAAAAAAGCAGGGAAAGGGTACAAGTTATACAGATTTACAGAAAAAAAAATGAACAGTAGGAAATCACTAGTTAATGGATTACATATTGTCATCTTAGAAATAATTGTTCAAGTCACAAAATTAGAGCTTGTAAAGTGGACATTCCATCAATGATACTGCAAACAGTTCTGTTCATTGATCCAATAAAACTCTGTGATATCATTTTCTATCTTATACACTTAAATATACATGCAGTTATATAGTTTGGAGCACTTTCTTTTCTTCTCTTTTGTACCATGACTATTACACATTTTGGGTTTCATTGCTCCCACGGTTCTTATTGCTTTTTTGGAAGAGAGTAAAACCAAATGTGACATAACAGAACAGAATCGGTCAAGTCAAAAGGGTGGACATAATAGATAATGTAAAAACATAATACAAGGTGATCAACAATGGTTACCATAATGCCTCCCGCTATCTCTAATAGAATTGCCTATATCATTAGTTATAATACAATTGAACAAAACAGTAAAGAACAAAACCGACAAAACCAAAACATTGGAGACATTGTAGGTCTTCAAAAGTAGACAAAAGTCAACAAGAATGGGCGTCATAATGAATCTCATTATCTTCACAGCTGATGCCTAAATTTTCGAACCTGATACTATCCAGCAAAACAGAATAGGGGAACATCAGTTAAAAACCAGATGGTGAGAGTAATACAGGGCTTTAAATCAAGGTAATGAAAAGTCAAAGTAGGTTACTATAATATATCCTGCTATTTTTTTTCCTTTAATTAAAAGGATAAAGATAAAAAAGTAAATAATGGAGTGGAGATTGAGATAAAAGAGGGCATAACAACGAAACAGCGCAGATCAAAACATAACCATTTAAGCAGAATAGTGTTTCACCACCAGATAATCCTAACCTAAAAGTAGTTACCATATTGTTTCTTTCTTTGAAATCCTTGAGTACAACTTCCTATACTGTAGCATTAAGTATATCAAAACAATGTAAAACCATTCAAGAGAATGATAGCATTACAGAGTATTTAGAATCGACTAACAAAATGAACAATGGTTTCTGTATAATCTCCTTGTCTTTAAAAGGTTTTTGCTTATACTATCGTACATAATAAAATCCAATAAGATACAGACTATTTAGACCATTGGAGACAGAAGGACAAAAGCTAGATGAGACTTCAAAACAAGATGATACTAAATCTGTATTACCTATTAAGATGTCATTTTCTCCAAAATAGCTGTTCCTATCATCCAATCTTCTCTGCCTCATTTCTGTTAAGCTCTTTTTCTGTCCGTAGCTGTCAGTTTGTCTTCTTCATTTTGTTCTCTGCTCCATTCGTTGTGGCCTCTCTGCCATTATTTCTGGATTCTTTGTATTTTTCTTTTTTTAGAATATCCTGCAATACTCTCTGTAGAGTTGAATTGGTGGTTGCAAATTCCCCCAGTTCCTCTTTATCCTGGAAGCACCTTGTTTTTCCATCAATTTCCAGGGACAGTTGTGCAGGATATCTCAATCTTGGCTGGAGATTATTATCTTTCAATGCTTGAATTATTTCCCCCCACGCTCTTCGTGATTTGATGGTTTGTGCAGAGAAATCTGCTGTAATTCTGATGGGTGTTCCCTTGTAGGTGGTCTGTTTCTTGTCTCTTACAGCTTTTAATATTCTGTTCTTGTATTGAATTTCTGGAATTTTTATTATTATATGCCTGGGTGTTGCTCTGTTTGGGTTGTAGGTAGCTGGGGTCCTGTATGCCTCATACATCTGAGTATCTTTACCTTTTGCTAAATTAGGAAAATTCTCCTGGATTATTTCTGTGAGTAGCTTTTGTAGTTCACTTGTTTGTGTCCCTACTTGTTCTTTTATGTTCTTAATCCTTAAGTTATGGATCCTCTTATCATCTTCTTGTCTTTGTATTATTGCTGTTTGTTTCTTTGTTATTTTTAAGAAGTTTTTCATTTCATTCTCCCATATTACAAGTCTGCCCTCCAGTTCAGATAGTCTGTCCTTAGTTTCTTTCAAGCTGTTATGCCAGTCTTCTATAGACTTCTTAGTATCTTGGTAGTCCCTTTGAACCTGCTTCACGTATTCTATGCTTTCTCTGTTTTCTCCATCAAACAATTCTCCCCTTTTTTTCTGTTCTTCCATTCCACCACCTGTTTTTTCTTGGGTGGTACTTAGCATTTCTCTAACTATTCTGCACACTTCTAGCTTCAGGTCATTGATAACTTCATTCCTGAATTGGTCTATGAGGCTCTCTATATGGTGCCTTATGTGTATTGGTGTGGTGTCTGCTATTGCCTGATTTTCAGAATTGGGAGCCGAGGAGCCTTTCTTGTTGCTGCCTCTTCCCATGCTGCCTCTTCTTCTCTGTTCCTTATATATGCAAGCTTATATAAGAGGCCCAGCTTCTCTCCCAGTCAGCCACAGCCTGATCGAATTGCGCCAGTTAGTTGTTCCCGCTCACCACTGCGCACCAGGGAGTTACGGACCAGGCAGCCTACACGTCACCCCTCCCGGCCACCGTCAGGCTCTGGGATCTGGGTTGGGACAGTCTACCAGGTCCGCCGGCAGCGTCAAGCAGGTCAGGCACTTTTCACCAATCCCGCCCGAGAGGGGGATGTGTGGCTGGAGTCCCACCGCGCCCTGCTCCCGCAGGACTGCCCGGGCCAAGAAAGTCCTCTGCTGGAGTCAAACTGTGGTAGAGTGTCAGTTTCTCTCACTCACCTCACCACAAGTCAGTGCACACCTCCCTGCCGTTCGCAGATTGCCGTTCTCAGAGCTTCCGCACGTCTCTCTCCTTGCCGAGCCGCTGTAGAGGCAGCCAGCCGCCGCGCGGCGGGAAACCCAAATCGCGGCTTACAATGGCGCGGTTCCAGCCTCCACCCCAAGTCTTTTCTGTTCCTGTTTTAGCACCAGGACTGCATTCCAAGTTGGCTTCTCTCAGCCCAGTTCGTTCCTGAGTCAGCAGAGCATACCTCCACTGACTTATGTCTCCTTAGTCCGCACCATTCCTGGCTTCTGAGCCGAGTCTTTCAGAGAGCCTCCGGTAGTTGCTGTTATCTGTCCGCCATGTTCTCCCAGAAGTCGTCCTGGATATATTTTTAAAAATTCAAAATGCACTTAAAATACTGATACATGCTTACTCGTATACAAAGCAGATCAAGTTATAATAGATCAGGCCTTAAAGAAGCTTAGCTATCGATGACAGGATTTGTGGAAAAGGAAAATGTTAATAGACTCTCTGTGATTGTGCATTCTTGTAAATCCAGCACACTAGGAATCAGATTTTGCAGAAGTGCAAATTCAAGTTCAAACTTCAAAGCTTAATGATCAGCGAAAATCTCTTAAAACAGATTTAAAAAGCTATAGATTTTATGATAATAGCTGTTGTTCATTCCCAGCATGAAAAATATGTGTTATATAATGTCAAAAAATAAAGAATATAATGTCATTTGCCATAAGAAATAGGTGGTTCTTTCTCCCATCAATTCGGTGAAATAGCTCAGCTATAAAACTTAAAAGTTCACAGGGTTTCTCTTAGATGAGAAACCAAAATATTAATTGTGGAATGAAATGAAAGAGTTAATAGAGAAAAGTAAGACTGACCATATGGAAACGGGAACTACAGGTTAAGGACAGAAGGGAGATTGTGATGGGGAAACATATCATAATGATCTGTATGTGATACATATATGTACCCATGCCCAAAGTGAAGATAAAGATTCTGCCTTTCAAAAGGTTCCAAATTTTAAGATTTCCAAATGTGTACCAGTCTTTTGGGAATGGTTGTTTTCAACATGTCTTACAAGGCCATCTGTTACTTCATGGTTTCTTAACAGGCATTAAAAACAGAACTTGACATTAATGCAATCATTAAACTCAGACCCATTTCACTGTGTGTTTCTTTTTTTTTTTTGTTTAATGTAAGGAAAGACTAACAAAAAAAATAAGTAGAAATGATACCACTTTCAAAGTGAAAATAAACAGTAAGAAATCTAAAGACAGTGATTACATATGCTGCTCATAGAAATAGTTAATGAAATACAAAAGTGAAATATATGATGTGGGGATTCAAACAGTGAGACTGCAATAAAAACTTAGTAATATGGTTATCAATCCAATATGTGATTTTGTTTTTTTACAGAAATGACAAGCTAGGGAAATCCTATGGACATACATCTTGGAATCAGTGTAAAGAAGTATTCCCTTGTACTGCAGAAGGTAATGTGAATGTGAAAGAAACAGAAACACAACACAATGTTCAGATCCATGAAAAATATTGCAGTGGAAAGAAACCCTATGTATGTCAGCAATGTGGAAAAGGGTTCACCAAATCTGGGCAGTGTAAGCAACATGAAATAATTCACACTGGAGTGAAACCATATGTATGTAAGAAATGTGGGAAAGCATTTAACACACGGGCAAATTGTAAAATACATGAAAGTATTCACACTGGAGAGAAACCCTATGTATGTAAGCAATGTGGGAAAGCTTTTAACACAAGGGGAATTTTTAAGAAACATGAAAGAATTCACACTGGAGAGAAACCCTATGTATGTAAGGAATGTGGGAAAGGTTTTACCCGACATGGAAATTGTAAGCAGCATGAAAGAATTCACACTGGAGAGAAACCATATTTATGTGAGCAATGTGGGAAAGCTTTTAACACACGTGCATATTGTAAGGTTCATGAAAGAATTCACACTGGAGAGAAACCATATGTATGTAAGCAATGTGAGAAAGCTTTTAACACATGGGCAAATTGTAAAATACATGAAAGAATTCACACTGGAGAGAAACCCTATGTATGTAAGCAATGTGGGAAAGCTTTTAACACATGGGGAGATTTTAAGAAACATGAAAGAATTCACACTGGAGAGAAACCCTATATATGTAAGCAATGTGGGAAAGCTTTTACCCAACCTTGACATTGTAAGCAACATGAAAGTTCACACTCAAGGTAGAACCAGTGTATACAAGCATCATGAGAATTTTTTGAGCACAAGTACATATTGCATAATGCATGAAAAACTTCACCCTGGGCAGAAAACTTATATATGTAAGGAATGTGGGAAAGGTTTCAGCAGAAATGCTCATTGTCCAATACATGAAAAAATTTAAAATGTTGAGAAACCCTGTTTATGTGAAGAATGTGGGAAAGCTTTCACCACACATGGGTTTTGTAAAATACATCAATGACTCCACTTTGGTGAGAAAACCTATGTATATAACAATGTGGCAAAGCTTTTACCACATACAGTCATTGCAAAACACATGAAAGAATTCACTCTGGGAAGAACCACTGGCTAAGTAAGCAAGTGGAGACACTTTCAGCAGCCAGATTATAAGTGAAGTACGTGAAGAAGCTCACACAAGAGATAAATCCTATGTGTTATGGGAATACTCTCAGCACACATGATCATTGTTACATATCTGAAAGAACTCACTGGATCCTATGTGCATGAACAATGTGAGAAATATGGCAATCCATGTTTCTTGTTAAATATATAGAAAAATCAGCACTCTTCAGACAGTTTAAATCTAAGTTTACTTTAAAAATTCCAAGTAGACCTGAAGAAATAATCAATACAGAAGTTTGATATCAATATTTCTTCACAAATTTTCCAGAAATGACAAATCTGAAGTGGAGCTCTACTCAAGTACATATTTTGTATGGTTTTCAGTTAATCAGTTATACCTCTTTAGATTTTTTAAAGTATCTTTGTGCTTCAACATGGCATCTTGTAATTAAACATGGTAAACTGAAATGGGCTTTTCACTTTCAAATGTGGATAGTGTCTATCTACTTAATATTTTGTCTTTAAACCTTAATTTTTATATTTTTGGTGAATTATTTTTATTTAAAGAAAACCAAAAAGTGTAGAAATAATACAGAGGTCTGAAAAATAAACAATAAGAAATCACTAGTTGATTAGTTACATATTGTCATCTTAGAAGTAATTGTTCAAGTTACAAAATTAAAGCATACAAAGTGATATTCAAATAATGACATTGCAAACAGTTCACCTCAGTGATCCAAAAAAAACGTATTAATATGCTTATCTGTTCTACAAACTTGTTTTTTATCTTAAAGACGGTAAGATTAAACATGACAAAACAGAACAGTTCATAAGGAAACAAGTTAAGGAAACACAGGTTTCAAAGCAAGTCCACTGAGATGTTCATTTTCTATCTTACTGTCTCTAGTTTTCTTCAAAATAGTTGTTCGCAGCTTCACAAGCATTGAATATATACTGAACATTATAGAGCTAATCAAATAATTACAGGATGATGCAGGCTTTTTTGATCTTTAAGACTGATTTTGGGGAAGTTGATAATGATTACCATAATGTGTCTCATTCTTTTCGTAGTAGACATCATTATTTTTATGTATGCTGAAATTGAACATAAGAGACTAAACTAATATCACTAGTGAATAATAGTATCCTGAGAAGGAGAAAGGTGAGGAAATGCCTAAAAAAAGAAGGCAGAGCACTTGTTAAAAGTGTATCAGGATTTAAAAGCTACAGTAGATCTGTTGCTCTGTTTAGTTTGATTATATTTTGTTCTGGTTTGTCTACTCATATTAGATTTGAGGGCACAGGGAGATAACCCAAAAATGGCAGGTTATACCATGATGGTAATTGTCCTTAATTTCCTATTAACTAAAACTGAAACCCTGTATTACTAACATTGTCTTACAACGACTGAACTTATTTTAAGCTGGTTTGTTTGAATGTTATTTGGCCTTGACTGATTTTATTCACATTTGATATGATTGCTGGTATCAAGTCCAAGAGTAGAGGCAACTACTCTGAAGATGATAAGATGTGACACATATATATTGGGGGGCTGGGGATTTAGCTCAGTGGCTTAAGCCCCTGCCTAGCAAGTGTGAGGTCATCAGTTTGATCCCCAGTACCAAAAAATAAATAAATAAAAGATATAAATTCCAGGTTTAATTTTTTTATTTAAGGAGAAAAAAAGAACATAAAAAAGCAAAGCAGTAAAAGGGTACAAATAATACAAAATTTCAATTAAAAAATACAGTAAGAAATCACTAGTTAATAGGTTACATATTGTCTTCTTAGAAACAGTTGTCAAAATTATAAAATTAAAGCATATAAAGTGAACATTCCTACAGCGAGATTGCAAACAGGTCCGTTCAATGATCCAACAAAGCTCAGTAATATGGTTTTCCTTCCTACACACTCAAACAGGCACCTACTTCCCTTAGACCACCTTCCTTTCTTCTCTTCTTCACAATAACAATTACACTTTTGGGGTTTTTTTTACTCCCATAGTTCTTATTACTTTTTTTTGAAGAGAATAAAACCTCAAGTGAGTTAACAAAACAGAGTTGGTTAGAACATAAGGATGGGCATACTACTTGATGCAAAAATAGAATATCAGGTGATCAAAAATGGTTTCCACTGTGCCTCTTGGTATTTTTAAAAAGAGTTCCCTATATCATCAGGTATAATAGAATTGATCAAAACAGTACAGAACAAGACCAATAAAATCTACACTGGAGACCTTACAGAATTTCAAAAGAAGATAATAGTCAAATCATAATGGGCATCATATTAAATCTTATTGCCTACAAAGTGGTTGCCTATACCCTCAAACTTGATACTATTAAACAAAATAGAATATAGTAAAATCAGGCAGAACAAGATGGGGAGAGCAATACTGGGGTTAAAATCATGTTAATAGGAAAATAAAAAGTTACTATTATAAATCCCACTATTTTTTAATTTAGTTTTCCTTTAATTGAAAAAAAATAGAATAATTTTTTTTAAAAGGGTGGAGATCGAGATAAAAGAGACATTGTAATAGAACAATGCAGGTCAGAAGTGAACAATTAAAGCATCATTTGGTTTCACCACCAGGTAATCTAACATAATATTAGTCACCATAATGCCTCTTTCCTTGATTTATTTGAGTATAACTTCGTATACTATACGAAGAATCAATCACATACTATACTATAGAAGATACTATACTATAGAAGAATCAATCGTATACTATACTATAGAATCAATCACATCAAGACAGTGTGAAGCCATTCAAGACGTGAAAGAATTCAGGGTATTTAGAACCAGTTAACAGAAAATGAACAACAATTTCTATATTATCTCTTTGCCTGTAAAAAAATTTTTTATACTATCACAGTAAAATATATTAAGATACAACATGTTAAATTCAGTGGAAACATGTACAACAACTTGATGGGAGTTCCAAAGGAGATGATATTAAATCAGCACTAGCTTTTATGATGTGTTATTTTCTTCAGAACAGCTATTTTTGGTACTAAAATCGAAAAACGCAGGGTAAAACCATTGCACTTAATGAGTGAAAACATTATATGGATTCAAACCAATATGATTGGGTATCATGATTACCACATACTTCTATGTATTATCATTTCTTATACTAGGGAATATATTTGGTATTTATACATGTGAGTTTGATTTATTTCACTAATGAGTATGGTCTCAGTCTGTGTCCATTTATTTATATGTCAATGTGATCATTCTTTATAGCTGAGTAGTTCTCCATTGTATAAAAACACCATAACTTTTTTATCCATTCCTCAGTTGATGGACACTTAGGTTGTTTCCAAGATCTGACTATTACAAACTGTGCTGCTATAAAAATGGGTGCACATATATCACTGTGGAATGATGCTTTCAGTTCTTCTGTTAATATGCCTAGAAGCAGAATAGCTGGGTCAAAAGGTGCTTCCAGTCCCAGCTTTCTGAGAAATCTCCACACTGAGCTCCACAATGGTTGTACCAGTCTACACTCCCACCAAAAGTGCAGGAGAGTTCCTTTGTCCCAACAGTGTCTCCAACATTTGTTGTTGGTGGTTTTCTTGATCTTGGCCATTCTTTCAGAAGTGAGATGCAATCTCAGTGTGGTTTTAATGTGCATTTCTCTAATGACCATTGATGGTGAACATTTTTTCATGTATTTACTAGTCATTTATATTTCTTCAACTCAAAATTGTTTATTCATCTCAGATGCTCATTTTTGGATTGGGTCTTTGAATTTTGGTGGTCTCCTTTTTTAAAATGCTTTATATGTTTTAGACAGAAGTCCTCTGTCTGAGGGGCAGTTCACTAAGATTTTTTCCCAGTTTGTGGGCTTTCTTTTCACTATACTGGAGGTTTCATTTGATGTGCAGAAACTTTTTAATAAGAGGTGATCCCAATTATTGATTCTGCGAAGCATTTCCCATGTGGTTTGAGTCCTGTTCATCAATTCTCTACCTACACCTATGTCTTCAAGGTTTTTTCCCAATTTGTCTTCCAATAGATTTAGTGTTTCTGTTTTAATATTTAGATCTTTGATCCATTTAGATTTTATTTTAGTACATGGTGATAGGCATGGCTTTAGTTTTAGTTTTAGCCATATGGAGAGCCAGTTTTTCACCACCATTTATTAAAGAGACTGTCATTCTTCCAGTGAACATGTTTGGCCCCTTTATCAAAATAAGGTACTTGAGTGTGTTTGTAGTTGTGGTTGTATCTTCTCATCTATTCCACTGATCTTCAGCTCTGTTTTGGTTCCAGTACCATGTTGATTTTACTACAGTTGCTTTGTAGTATAACTTCAAGTCATGGATTGTGGTACTTCCTGCCTTGCTTTTGCTGCTTCTAACTGTCCTTGCTATTCTAGGTTTCTTCTCATTCCAGATGAATTTTAGGGGTGATTTCTCAAGTTCTATGAGGTATGTTGATGGTATTTTTATCGGGATTGCATTGCATCTGTATAACAGTTTTGGAAAAATGGGCATTTTCACAATATTTATTCTTCCTATCTATGAGCAAGGGATGTCTTTCCATTTTCTGAGATCATTTTCAATTTCATTTTTCAGTGTGTTATAATTTTCCCTGTATAGGCCTTTCACTTCTTTCGTGAGAGTAATTCCTAAATATTTCATTTTCTTGGTTGCTAGTGTGAAGGGTGTGGCCTCTCTTATTTCTGTCTGTGTGACTTTGTTGTTAGTGTATAGGAATGCTATTGATTTTTGAGTATTGATTCTGTATCCAGCTACATTATTGAATTTATTTATTGTATCTAGGAGTCTTTCAATGGAACTTCAGGGATCTTCTATATAAAATATCAAGATATCTGCAAATAATGATAATTTAACTTCTTCTTTTCCTATCTTTATGCCTTTTTATTTCTCTCTGTTTTCTAATTGCTCTGCCCAGTATTTCCAGTACTATATTAAATAGGAGCTGTGATAAGGGACATCCTTGTCTTGTGCCTGATTTTAAAGTAAAGGCTTTCAGATTTTGACCATTTAGTATGGTACTAGCTGTTGTTTTGTCATTGTCAGCCTTAATTATATTGAGATAAGGACCATCTATTCCAATTTTCTGCAAGGTTCTTATCATAAAGGAATGTTGGACTTTATCAAAAACTTTTTCTGCATCTATAGTAATGATCATGTGATTATAATTTTTGGCTCTATTGAAATGGTGTATTACATTTATTGATTTACATATATTAAACAATATCTGCATGCCTGGGATGAATCCCACTTGGTCATGGTATATGATCTTCTTGTTGATTTGGTGCATACTATTTGCCAATATTTTATTGAGGATTTTTGCATCTTTGTTCATTAGGGAGATTGGTCTGTAGTTCTCTTTTTCAGTTGGGTCCTCCTCTGGTTTTGGTACTAGAGTAATATTTGCTTCTCGGAACAATTTATGAAGGATTGCTTGCCTTTCGATTTCAATGAAGAGTTTGAGGAGGGTTGGCATTAGGTCTTCTTTGTATTTCTTGTAGAATTCTTCAGTGAATCCGTCTGGGCCTGGCCTCTTCTTTGTAGGTAATGATTTTATTATGTTTTCAATTTAATTAATAGAATTTGGGTTATTCAGTAGTTTTACATCTTCATGACCTAGCTTTGGTACTTCATATGCTTTAGGAATCTGTCTATTTCTTCTGTGTTATAAAACTTTTGAGAGTAGAGGTTTTTGAAATAGGTGTTGATGATCTTCTGTATTTCAATAGGGTCTGTAGTAATTTCACATCTTTTATTCCTTATTGCATGGATTTGAACTTTTTTTTTCATTTTTTAAATAAGGGTGGCTAGGAGCTTTTCGATTTTATTTATTCTTTCAAAGAACAAGGTCTTTGATTCATTGATTTTTTGGATTTTTTTTGTCTCTATTGCATTGATTTCTGCTCTGATTTTTATAATTTCTTCTCTTCTTTTGGCTTTGGGCTTGACTTGATCTTCTTTTTCTAGATGTTTGAGGTACAACATCAGGTTATTATTTGTATTCGTTCTGTTTTCCTAATGTGGGAACTCGTGCAATACATTTTCCTCAGAGGACAGCTTTCATTGCATCACACAGATTCTGGTGCATTGTACTTGTGCTTCCATTTGTTTGTAGGTATTTTTTAATTTCCGCTGTGACTCACTGATTACTCAAGAGTGTTATTCAGTTTCCATGTGTTTGTGGGATTTTTGCAGTATCTTATCATTAATTTCTAATTTCATAGTGGTATGGTCTGATAGCATGCAAGGGATAATTTCAACCCTTTTGCATTTATTTAAATATGCTCTGTGAATTAATATATTGTCTATTTTAGAGAGTGACCCATGTAATACTGAGAAGAATGTGTATGCTCTTGTTGTTGGGAGGAATACTCTGTATATGTGTTAAGTCCATTTGTTCCCAGGTGCGATTCAGTTCTTTAATGTCTTTGCTCATTTTCTGTCTGGTTGATCTTTCCATTGGTGTCAATGGTGTGTTAAGATCTCCTGTTAGAATTGTGTTAATGCTAATTTGATTTTTCATTTTTGTTAGTACTTGTTATATATAACTGGGTGCTCTGGAGTTTGGTGCATATAAATTTAAGATAGTTTTCTCTTCCTCTTGGAGTTTTCCCCTAACCAGTATGTAGTAACCTTCTTTATCCCTTCTGATCATTATTGGCTTGAAGTTCACATTGCCTGCAAACAGAATAGCTACCCCCCCCCTTTTTTTTGGTTCCTGTTCCATGAAGTATTGTTTTCCATCCTTTCACTTTCAGTCTGTGAATATCCTTTTGTGTTTAGATGGGTTTCTTGTAGACAGCATTTGTTTGGATTTTGTTTCTTAATCCATTCTGCCTGTCTGTTTCATCTAATTGGTCCATTGAGACCATTTACGTTAATGGTTAGAACAGTTATATATTGGTTTATTGTTGACATGTTATCTTTTTGCTGTTGCATTTTTATCTTTCTGCTCTTTTTAACTGTCTGTTTTGTTTAGTGCTTTTCCCCTAAATGTATCTAAGCTGTCTTTCAGTATTCTTTGCAGAGTTGGCTTGGTGATCATGAAGTTTTTCAGCTTTTCTTTGTCATATAAGTATCTTATTTCTCCATTGATTTTGAAGGACAGTTTTTCAGGGTACATCAGTCTAGGTTGGAAATCATTTTCCTTTAGGATCTGAAATACTTTGCTGCATGCTCTTCTTGACTTCATTGTTTGTTCTTAGAAGTCTGCTGTGATTCTGATATGTTTTCCTTTATAGGTGATCTGTCTCTTCTCTCTGACAGCTTTTAATATTCTATTCATTTGCTCAATTTCTGGGATGGTCATTATTATATGTCTGGGTGTAGATTTATTTTGGTTATGGGTATTTGGATTTCTATATGCTTCATTGATCTTGATATCAGTTTCCAATCTTGTGTTTGGGAAACTTTCAGCTATTACTTCTCTAAATATCCTCTTGACATCCTTTATGTTGTCCCCTTCTTTTACATTTATCCCTATCAACCTTATGTTGTTCTGCTTTGCATCATCTTGCAGGTGTTCAATAGTTATTTCCTGATATCTTGTTATTTTTAAAAGATATTTCCTTTCCTGTTCACTGGCTGCAATCTTGTCTTTGAGGTCTGAGATTCTATCTTCATATTCATTGAGACAGTTTTTACAACTTTCAGTGGAGTTTTTGATTTCCTGTATATCACTTTGCATCTACTTTATGTATTCTGTTTGTTTCTTACAGAGTTCATCCAGGGATTCTATCTTTTTGTTTAGTTCCTCCAATTTTTTAACTGTGTCTTCTTTAGATATGTTCAGAATGTCCTTTATTTCTTTTAACATTTCTTTTTTTACCTACGAGATTATTTCTAGTTTGAATTTCTTTAATGCTTCCCAAAGATGCTTCTTTATTTCAGGTACTATTATTTCAGGTATTTCAGTTATGTGGAATGTGTTTTCTTCTATGCACATGGCTCCTAGCCTTTTTTGGGATGGGATGGATGTTTGAAATTGCATTTTGGTCTTTCATTTTGTCATTTTGCTTGATTTTCAAGCTTCAAGTGTTGTTCCAAGTGAGGGAGCAAGTTCACCCAGATTGGATGGGATTCCAGGCCTCGGCTGAACTTGCTGGCAAGGTAGGGAGTTTCCCCAGACTGGAATTGGAATCTGTTCCTCTGCCCCACTCGCTGGTCCCAGCAAGAATCTGCGGGCTCATCCCCAGGTGAGGAAGAGAGTTTCCCCAGACTGAAAAAGGATTCTGTGCCTTGGCCTGACTCCCTGGTTCTGACTCACTGGTCCCAACTCACTGTTCCCAGTGGGCAACCACCTGGTCCCCAGGTGAGGAAGAGAGTTCCTCCAGACTGGGATGGGATTCTGTGCCTTGGCCTGACTCGCTGGTCCTGGCAGGAAACCACGGGTTCTACATCAGGTTTGATTATTAACTGCTTTCACATCCTACAACGTCTTCAAAGTTGTGTTTTTATAAAAATAGCTATATAATGTTATGCTTTATTATATAGTCCCTGATGATGTGGACAATTCTATTGAAAATAACAAGAGAAAGCATAATAAATACTGTATATCACCTAATATTGTGGCCTTATATGTCTCTCTCATATCATGATTTTCTAGGAATTTGTTTTGTTGTCTTATTTTGATCTGTTTTTCCCCATAACACAGAAAGGATAGATATACACATAGAGATTCACACATGGGAAGAATTTATAACCTATTTATTGGATCCAATAATATAATACATAATGTAATGAAGAGATACTCTGAAGAAGAAGTGACACTAAGAAACCCAATGCTATTTATGTAGAATTATGATATAAAATTGAGCAATACTATTATTCACTGTTCAGAGTGATATTAGTCTAGTCTCTTATTTTTTGGGGGGAATTGTAATTTTAATATGGCTTTGTTTTAATCTTTTGATGCACATGCTTCATTTTCTCTTTCATAAATGATTTTTCTGAAGTTGATGCAATATTTGGCATTAAGATATACATTTGTTGAGGCTTGAAGTACGTGTTTTTGACAAAGTTGTGTTCTTTTCACATAACTTGTACATTAATGAATGTTATGTTTTCCAAGTTGTGATAAGAGATCTGCTGATTTCCTAGCATCACTGGATATCATATCATGTAAATTATGTTGTCTGATTTTGTTTCTCAGTGGAGCCAATATTGGTCATTTAAGTAAACCTTTGTTTTTCTAACCATCAGAATTTTACTTGTTATGTTTATATTACATCTTTATTTGCTATTAAGGTTTCCCCACATGTACCAAATGTAAACCATACTACTGTGAATTTCTGATTGTGCCATACTGACAGAATTATAACTTGTTTCCAATAGCACTTCACCATATATATATCAGTATCTCCAGAAATTATAAAATTTGGCATGATTTATGAGTAACCATACTTTGAAATCAGGTTTTCTTAAATATGGAGTTGTTTTGGTGGAAAAGGTTGTTATTGGGTGTATCATGCAAATGCCTTTATTTTATTCCTTGATGCTGTGAATGCATTATATATTTTGTAATTATTACTGTTTTTTCCTAAAATACTGAAGTAATGGCATGAAGGGAAACCTAAATTTTGATCTGTCAACACAGTAAAAAGTAAATTTGCTAAATTATGATTCAGACTGTGTTCTGTTTTACTGAATTGTGAATTTATACAATGGCATATCACCTTATTTATAAGGACCAGTGCATGATGTTTGTGGTGTGTACTGATTATCTTTAAACACATAAAGTGGGCCATGAGTCCCAGTTGGTTTCCTGTGGCCTGTGGTTTTCACTTCCATTTTAACATTCATGTAATTTGTAGTGTGTTTAATGCAGTGTTGTTGAATACAAAATCTGCTTAGGAATTATGTTGTTGGGCTGGGGATTTAGCTCAGCGGCATAAGCACCTGCCTTGCAAGCAGGCAGTCGTGAGTTCGATCCCTGGTACCGATAAAAATGAAAAAGACAAAAAAAAAAAAAAAAGGAATTATGTTGTTAAAAACAGTGGTGTCATGAAAACACAAGTGAACATTGCAGTAAATACCCCTAATCCAGTGAAGATAACTTGCCCAAGTCTCAATTATCCTTGGGAAAATAAATAACTCACCTCTTATGTAATCACCACTAAAACTATATCTATTTTGTACCTGAAGAACCTGATATACTTCACAAAGTAAAAGACACTGTGAAGTACATTGTCAGCCTCTGTGCACTACAGCATGTGGCCAGATTCCCTGCAGCATATTTCTGCTTAACATCAGTGGGAATATTTGGAGTTTGTATTACAGCTAATAATAGAATACTGAATCTATAAGACATATATCCTGAGTACATGCACTTTCTCATTTTACCATGAAAGTAAATCTTGCTGGTCCTGTTGATGCATTCTTGTAATCCTAGCACCTCAGTGGGCTTAAATTAGTGGAAGAGGAAGTTGAGTCTAACCTACACAATTAGAGTGACCTTGTCTCAAAATATATCTTCAAGTTCTGCAGATGTTGCTTAATGCTTTAGATCTACTCTTTTTCTTCCCCAGCATCAACATTTTTTAATACTCACAATTGCACATCAGTAGTTGTCTTTTTATCGGTTGGCCATGTAGCAGTTATCCCGGAGAATCTCTTGGGAAACACATTTGTTTATGCAGTGACCATCCTGAGCATCATTTGGGCAGTTGTCAATTTAAACCATTCATTCTTGTATTGAATACAGTAGAATTGTCACTTTTATATTCCTTGTTATTTTATAAAAACTAACAAAAATATGCAATTTTGGATCATTTTGTATTTCAATAATTGCATTGGTAAGGAGTTACCTATAAAGATTAGGCTAAAGATGATTTCTTTAGTTCAAGCATCAGGAGAGAATGAGATGGGATGATAATGGCTTTGAAGCTGACTTTGGAAGGCAATTGCTAGATGGTTTAGCCTAGAGGTATTAAAAAACATATTTTAAAATACTATTCCTGCTGTTTTGTGTAGAAAATAAGATAGGGTGACAAAAGAAGCAAAAAGGACTTTGTAAGATTTTAATCTTCCTGCATAAGCATACAAGCCACAAAAAAGTCAAAACAAAAGGATGAAGAAATAAACTACAGAATGAGAAAAATTTTGCCTATTACTCCCTGACAGCTGATATGTAAAGCCAATAGGAACATGAAAGGAATGCACATTTTTCAGAATATGTACAAATTGCCCAGAAATACTTGAAGAACTATTGAGCATTTTTGCACAATAGAGAAATGCAAATAGGGACATCATTTCATTGCAGAGAGAACCAATCACCATAAAATCTAAAGAACATTCAGGAGACTACAGGAGAAAAGGAATTATTTAATCTTTTTGGTGGAAATGTAGGTAAGTAGTTCAACTACTACTGAATTCAGTTTTTAAAGTATTCAAAAGACTAAAATTAGTAATTCTCATTAGTGCAGTGCTTCCTTTAGTGGGTCTCTTCCCCCAAAGAGCTAAGGACATACTGCAGTGATGCATGCAGATTCCTGTTACTGCAGCAATAGTCATTTTTCTGTGGAGAGCAGCAGCAAGCACTGTTCCATCACCACCAAATACCAATGACAAACAACAAATACTCACCCACTGTACTCCATTTGATAAATGGTGTGATATTTGATTGTGAAGTTGGCTGTGACTTAGGTTTTCCAGTAGACTACAGGTCAGTATAAATATGATAGTCATGCTAATATCACAAGGCCATCACTAGTACACTATTACATTCATTAGATTTGATGTATTTATCTTTTTGAGAATGCATGTTGCTATGAAGTTCAGGCTGGCTTTGAGGTCACATTATAACCCAGAGTGGCCTCAAACAATTCTCCTTCCTCAGTGTCTCAAGTACTGGGCCACCATGCCTAGTTTATATTTGGTATAATAAGTGCATATTCAGGATATTTTATTTCAACTGTTTTTGTTGTTAAAGTATTTCCATATTTTACCTCCAGCATTTGTAGAAACTTTGGCCTTATTGAGGTGGTGATGTGCATATCACCATCCTCATGACATTGTCTACTGGGTTCAGAGCTGTCAGTGTACTGCAGTGAAACATAGCTGTACATAACTGTTTCTTTTTCTACTTTCCTTAGAAAACATTTTTAAAATTTCCATGGATAATCAGAGGATCAATAATTCTGGCTAGAGTTTCATGCAAATGCTGACAGTTAAGTACAGTGTAGCACTGACCCAAAGATAACTCTCTGTCATCTGAGAGTCTCTATAGTACTTTCTGTACACACACTTTGTGCCTGAGCCAGCACCTGTTGTGTGTCCTAGAGTCTGCTGCAAGTCCATGGAACACGTAGCTTTGTGACCGCCTCTAGACCGGTGTCCTATATGCCACTCTGCTGAGGCAGAGCACAGCTTCTGGCAGGAAGCCAGAAGCTCTGAGGCTCTGAGACAACACAGGTTTTTCTTTGTGAACACAGATAATCTTATAGTTCTGTAAGACAGACAGCTCTGTCCCATATTTCTACCCAGGAAGACAGAAGATGAATCTGGAGACTCTGGATTAGACAGGGGTACTGCTCTTCTGCTCTGCCAGCCCGGTCTTGGGTGGGAACCTGACAGTGGCCCAGGCTTGCATCCTCCCAGGACATTTACCAGCCCACGAGGATCTGCCTTCAGGGCATGTCAGACCCAGTCACATTTGACTTAGGGCAGGAATTGTGTAGGGGGATTCACAGTGGTAGTCAGGCCTTAAGGTTACTCTGCTGGACTCAGTGATTCTGAGTGGCTTGTGGCTGAGTCTAGTGACACCTGTCCTGGTCTCTCTCCTGCCTCTGGATGCCAGAAGGCTGGGGACAGTGAGCCCTGTACTTTAATTCCCTTGTCATTTGGCATTTGCCCTCAATCATCCTGAAGGCTCTGGGACGAGTGAACCATTTTTTCAGCCATTCCCACATTGTCTACCTATGTGTGATCCTGAGGCTGGGGTCTCATGTCCTGGGAAAGCAGCATAACCTGCTCCCTGTTCACTGTCTTGAGCCAACTGTCTGTGAAGACCAACTGTCACCAGACCAAGGTGCCTGGTGACCTGAGCCTTCAGGGTTCTGTTTGGACCTATTGCCAAGGAAGTGAGGTCATGCACTGGGGTCCACCGTTTGGCCTTCCTCTGTGATATCACCTTTCTTTTTGTTGTGGAACAAATCTATGTCCTCCTTAGAAACAACAAGTTAAAATGCTAGAGAACTGTGTATACTTTTAGACTTTGCTGCACTTTGAAGATTTTAATGCAGCAAACATGTAGATGCTTCAGATGTGTCAGGCTGTGTGCCAAACACAAATGTCCATCCCAAGGGTCCATTGTCTCGGAGGATGAAACACACATTGTCTTCTGTTAAAGATTTGTCAAATGTTAGGATGACTTCCTTTCCTGGGCTCATGTTAGTTTCATTTCACTTCCATTAGGAAGCAGAATAGCCATAAAAATTTTACCAAACAATGTGAAGGTCTCATGGTATAAACCCCATATATCCGGGGAGGAGGATTCATAGCCAGTTTTACTCTCGCGTGCTTAGGAATGATTATTTATTCATCCTTAGACATTCAACTCAGCTATACACTGTAGTGCTTCAAACTCTGACCTCCAGGGAAGGGGGACAGCAGGTGGTGAGTACAAGGGGAGGTGACATCATCACCCCATACTGATGAAGGACATATGTGCATCACTCCTGGGGAACTTGTCTCCTAGCTGCTACTGTCACTTCGTTTCCTCCCCTCCCAATCAGACCATGGGCTTTGGGCCCCTGATGGGTAGTTTCCTAGAGGTGATGGTGCTGAACCTTTTCAGTTGTAATACTCTTTGGTTGGTCTCCTTGAAGCAGTGTTTCCATGCTGGGCTCTCTCTGTGCTGCCACCACCCACTATTATGTGGCTGAACCAAGCACATGCACCTGTCACCCATCTTGTGATGGTCATTTTTTATGTTTTTGGGATGGACTTCAAAAGGAAGCTGCCACATCCATTTTTACACAAGCGTTTGAGTGGATACTGACATTTATTTCAAAGAAAATGCATTGTATTGCTGTTGTAAGGATAACTTAGAAATTATTACTGTATCTTTGGAAGCAGATGTTTAAAGCAGAGTTATGTGGTTCCTTTTTTATTTTGTTTTGTGATATTATGCTATACTATATTATGCTCTGTTATGTTATATTATGTTATATGTTGGTGTGGATTTTGAAAGTCCTTCAGAGTGTTTTCAGTACTTTCTGATTTGGTTTTGTATAACCAACCTGATGTACTTTTAGAATATCAAAAACTTTGA